ATGGGCATGTAAGTGGTCGGTAATGGGGATTTTGCTGTCCCGGAATGGAGGCGTTATGAACCCAACATGCATAGGCGGCTCTTGCCCTTGAAGCGGTACTTGGTTAGAAGAAAGCGTCTCCTGGGATGCGAACGGTGATGGCGACATTGGAGCAGGGGGGTTCAGCGATTTCAGGAGGCGGAATGCAAGCGATTGGATATGGTTCAATAAAGGAATATCGTTAGAGGACTACAAGCGCTATGTCAGGCATCGTTGAGCAAACAGCTTGTGTGGAGGACTCACAAGAGTGTATATTGATGGGACATGAAGACTTCAGAAAGCCAAGTGCTGATGTGAGCAAGGTTTCACCCCTAAAACCAATGGGCACAAAAGACGTACTTGAGAACAATGATAATATGGCCTTTGCTGGAAACGGGATATTTTTTCTCCAGGTAGGCCGTGACATTTGCATCCCTATAGAGAATGACGCTGTCCTGACTGCTTGCAGAATCTGGAGATGGTGAAGAAGGGCCAGTACTGGAGCTGAGGCTAGTATTGTCACTATCTCTCCTCCAAGGACTGCGGGGGCCACCCGGCAGTAGCAATCGGTCGCTGCGGGGGGGAAGAGGCGCGGCCACAATGCTGCAGAGCGGACATCCCGGCCGAGGAGCGAATTGATGAGGCACAGGCATGTTTCGTTATGTATGTGAAATGCAGTTCCTGCCCTGGAATTTCCCGCTTCAAAACGAATGCACATCCTTATACAAACATCGGCAGTTTCCGTTGCCCCCACCTCAGAAAGTCACCAGCGGTTCGAGAGAATGGTAGCAGCGTCCAGGGACCACATTCTCACCATCTTCAAGGACTTTTCTACAACTCTCGATGATCATAATGATCGAAAGGAACGTCTAGTAAAGATCGCGCGCGATATCACTGTTCTTTCTAAACGTATTATTTTTCTGCTGCACCGTATTCCTATTCCTGGCCATAATCATGGTCCCAATGGCGTCGGTGAAAGAGGAATTTCCAATATAGGGGGGACAGATGAAGCTTACGTCAAGCTGGAGGGTATGAAAAAGCTCCTTCAAGCAATGTCGGAGCAACTACAGGGGCAGGAAGTCGAAAGATATTCTGCAATGATGTCAGAGGTGCTCTAGATGAATTCTCCGCAGTTTTGTTCTCACACTTTTAGGGGTAGATCTCCTGGACTGCAGGAGTACATCGAGGCATTGTCTTTCGCCCACTACTTGCGCCACAAGGTATTAATATCATATAACGAAGTCAAGTCCTACCTTCCCCCTGTGAGCTTGTGCACTATTTTCCAACACTCGGAAATATGGCAGTTGCTAAATTCTCGAGTAAAAGATTATACCTCTTCCGTACTCAGACTACCTCCTTGGCGTATCAGACCTCACGGGGGAGCTCTTGCGTTGGGCTATTTCAGCTATAGGAGTGGATGGCCCGAGTCGACAAAAGGCCACAGAAGTATGCACATTCGTTCGGACGTGTTCAGCTGGTGCGCTTTACCCATTTCATTATCGAGCCTGGTCTTCTGAATGACACCGCGGTCGCTTATTTATTGTCGTTTACGACCGTAGATATCGAAGCCTTGACTCCGTACGTCCGGGGCCTCTCCAGAAAGCAAGGAATTACAACCGAGTCACTCAAGAAGATCGAATTTGGTACGTCCATCGCGCGTTTCGCTGTTTCTTCTTGGCGGTCTTGAAATTTTTATTCAAATGTCCACCCTCCAGCGGCGTATACAATTGCAATAAGAGGACGTGAGTATCCAGACGCTGGACGGGATGTCTGGTTGGACGTCCACGCGCGAGAGTCGGGGTTTGATGGCAGAAGAGGTAGGCACGGTGAAGGTCCGGGGGACGATGGGGAAGGAGAGAATGATGGTTCACTTCGAAGTATACTCACAACCTGTATCCCTACCTTCTTCACCACGCATGTAGGCACTATGTGTACCCTGTGATATGTATCTATCGTGTGGATTTGCTCGCAAGTCGACATAATAGGCCTTTCCGAATAATTTACTCTGTTGGGCTGGTATGGAAGATAGTGACCCATTCTTGGAAGGATTGTACAAGTACTAATTCCAGGAATCCCTCAGGATTGGGCATCCAGGTGGAGGGCCATTTTTTCGACTCCTCAACCTCAAAGATCCTCACCATCGATTTTGCCACCCAAGGATAGTCGGTGATTGCCGATTCCAGCGACAACTATCTATTGATTTTGTTGTCTGGTGCTTGTGAAATCGGTGACTGTATGCTGCCTGCGCACTCTCAGCGGCCTTTATTCCCCACTGGGGATGAGTGAAACTGCCGCTATTTCCTGCCACTGCCCCAATTTGGAAAGGAATTGATCTGCGGCGATAATACTGCCTTTGTGGCAAACATGGCGTGCCTCGTACTGTATATAGCTGCTTTAGTTGGAGAAAGTCGTTTCTCTCCGTCTTGATGATCATTTCCCTCCTTTTTCTCAGTCTCATTCTCACTAGTACTCTTCCCTCAGGCGCAACTTCATCACCCTCTTTCGCCATCAAGTTCACTCGCTTCCTCACTGTCATGGGCTCCTCAGTCGAGCATTTCATATCCCATATTCTGCCACCTCGACCAAGCGCACCAATTCCACCCAGCGTGGCTCAGTCCCATTCATCCCCCATAAAATCCAAGGGCACTGTCAAACGACTGCGTTCTGAATCCATTTCCTCATCAACCCGCGACGCTCTTGGCCATGTCAAGAAACGTCCGAGGGCCGCTACGTCCGCTCCAGTACCACCGCCCGGCTCCCCTGACTTAAAGCAGAAGGAGAGGGCGACCGACCTGCCCTCGCCCACTGGCGTACTGTTTGAACCCATGACTCCTGGACCCTCGCCCAGGAATGTCATCTTTTCGTCTTCAGCAGTTTGGTCCGATACTAGCACCCCTTCTCGTCGATCTAACGCCTCGAGGATAATTTTCACGCCCAAAGCGTCCAGTGACCTTGTGTTCCGGAGCAACGACGGCGTTCATCGCGATTTTTACGTCGATTCCCAGATTGTGTTCGATGCATCTCCTGTCTTGCGATTTCGTGCTTCGCAGTTAGGAACACACCCTACCGGTCTCGTACGCGCTGTGAATGTGGTTCAGATAGACGAGCCGGCCGAATTGATAGAGGCCATGCTAAGGCTCATCTATCCGCATGTTCGGAAGCCACAAATTACCACCTCCGAGGAATTGGATCACCTCCTCGCTCTATGCAAGCGGTATCAAATTGCGCATGGCATTCATTTTCTCTGCGCCAGATATCTCCAGTCATTAGCCCGTACTGAGCCTCTCCGCGCCTACGGCCTCGCATGCAAACACAGCCTCCCGGCCGAGGTCAAACATACCTCGCGCGAAACGCTGCGCATCGATCTTTCGAAAGCAGATGTGTCCCGCGATCTCGCGGAGTGCCATCCGGCACAGATCAAAGCACTCGTCCACCTGCATTCGCGCCGTGCCGCTGCTGCCCTTGCCATCATTTCCGATGCGTCGATCGAGGGATTGACGTGTCCGGGGAATACTGTGAAGATGGCGTGGCTGAGTGGTGGCTTGAAGTAATCAAGAGGAGTCGCACGGAGCTCAGAGCACGGCCCACAACCGACATTCTATTTTCGCCTGCATTTCTCGCAGTGTGTTGTAGAGTGGCATCGAAGAGGTGCAGAACCTGCCCGGACCAGTATCTCTCCGCTCGAGCACAACATAAATTAGGTTACATCAAGGATGCAATCGATGCACTCCCTTCCTCTCTTTAGCGGACTTTCATTTCTATCCTTACTAGGCCTAATTAGGGCATTTCCTAGATACAGCCATGTACCACCATTTGCATCGGACTAGCACCTGCATCAGCCTCTTGTATCCCTTCAATTACGCTCCTTCTACCTTAGTTTGATTTTCAATTTGCTGATAGATTAATAGCTTAGCCCATCTTCCTAATTCAAAAGAAATTGCATGCCCTCGTCAGGGTAAATTGGGCACCTTGGGAATGGCTTTATCCAGTGAAGGCTATCGATAAGCACGCGCGACACACTTTTGCTCTCCAATGCACCCTTCGTATATTTTTGGTAGTGGATACATAGGTCAATATCGATAATATATGAATGTGTAGATGGAGGAAGGGTGGTGTTAGAAGAGATATCGGTGGGAATGAAAACCTGACCCTCGTATTCGACTAGAAGGCAACCCACCATATATAGTACTTGAACATCGATACGTCAATTTCGCAATCCGAAGCCGTACAACACCACTACGTAGTCATCGGCGAGAGAGGGGCTTTGCACCTGAACCTTCGGATAGCGACGAACAACGCGGCTCGCGAGTTTCACTGTTCATCGGAAGCTGCAGCAACGCCCCCTAATTTCACTGTAGCGTCGGGCACTGAACTAGACAGTGAAGAACTCATTAAATCGGAACATGTTCGTGCCCCGCACTGCAAGATTGTACCTATGTAGAATGTAAGGGCGGGGGTAGTACGATTGGGGTTGTACCGTAGGTGATCGCAGGAGGCGGCGGTGAGGGAGATCTAAGCAAAGCGAGCGCGATCCGCGTACGATCCTTATAGGAAGCATGGATGGACGGAAGACAAACGAGGTAGGTCTGGATGGTTTCACCAGCCTTCCCAATAGATTCGGGGATGTACCTGCAATTTGCCATCGTTGAAGCAAGAAAGCGAGGGCCGGGAACCATCAAACCGTTGTCTATGCCCTGTCTTTGGGCCTAGCCATATCGCTTCTCGTGCTGTCACACCACTTACGCCTGGATTCATATCCCAAAATTGAGGAAGCGCCAGGAGGTGTGTTGGGCTTTTAACCGGGGAAGGATGCAGCTATGAATCAAATATCGCACTCCAAAGTCAGCATGACGATTAACGCAGCAGACAAACGCTTATCCAGAAGGGAATGTCGTATGTACTGATTCGGTCACGCGACTCCCCCTTGGTTTGTGCAAGAGCCAATCTCAATAAAGTGGGAGGATTTGGCCCATAGTTATAACAGCATCATAGCTCAGGTGGAAGAGCGATGGGCCCATAAGAGGTGCACCCATAAGTCACTGGATCGAGACCAGTTGATGCTAGCTTTTTGAATTTTTTCACCGTCCACCTCGGCATCTCCCTACCCACGGGCCGCACCAATCACTCGATCTAGGTGACCATACCCCTCTCAGCAAGGTCACTTCGCGGATGCGCGCATTCTTGGGTCTCTAATTTTTGCACCCTTTCCTGACGTTTTCACCCAATCTCAACGGCAAGGTGGATCTTCTTTTGTGCTTCCAAGCTCATTGTTCTGCTTCTTCTACTGTGCCGACTTCCCCCGTTCCCTTTGTGCGCAAAGCCACTGCCCATGAGGGTTGATTCTAATAGGAGAGAGTCGATTATTACGACAATATTACAGGCTTCTAAGGGAACACGCTTGTTGCCTTCAGCTTCAGCCCTATAAAGAAGGCATACTCTAAACCAAGGCATGGTCAAAGCAATGTACGCACGCTGATGACAATATCGACAACGACCCCCACTAGAGCAGGATCCCCGTCTCCTTACCCATCACTTTGCGCCCCTCGTCTAATACACCAAATGCCTCTTGGAGGATGTCTGGAAGCTCACTCATTAGCCCGTGAGGACTTCTAATCAATGCTGTGGTGTCCTTGGAATATCCATGGACCGATACCTCAAGAGTATTGCCTCCCCCGTACATATGACACCTTGGAGTCAATAAATAGGGGAATTCGATCCTGGGCGCACTGTTCTCCACTGATTCCTGAATCCGCCTGGCTTGCTTGGGCAGAGTGTCCGCCGTGGATGGCTTCGCAAGTGCCTCCAGGTTGGCCCAATCGTCCCTGGTGAGCTGGAGGACCCGTCCAGTCGCATCAATGGCAACGTCAGGTGAAGAAGCCGAGGACGAGACTGGATGCACAAATCAGCCCTGCCAATTGAGTACAGCATTCTTGCTAGGGCATGTGTGCAGAACGTTCAGGATGGGGGGATTGTGCGGGAAGGCCAATCGGTGAGCGACCACATGGTTAGCTACGATTAAAGTGCAAAATGAAGAAAACCCATAGGGCACAGTGACAGGTGCCAAAGGATGGTGGTACGTTGCCGCTCCAACGAGAAGACTTTCAACTTCCTAAGTACAGCTCCACGTAAAATATACTGATGGATACCCATTGCCTCCAGAGTCAGATCCCCGAAATCGAGTGCTGTAAACCACGATCTACAGTCTTCGACTCCAAGGGAACAACCTATACTGTTGGCACTCATGTGGGGCTATTACGAGCAGGAACAAGCCATATGTCGGCATTATACTATCCATTGCACCCGCCATACACAGCAACTGCCAGTACACTACCTTTCTTCCCGCGTGTCCTCTGCAGTTCTCAACCGTTTGGCTGGGGGTGGTTCGAGAGAGAGGCTCTCTGTCGTTTCCGACGTTTTGTCATTCACCTTCCGAGGTAGACCGTTTCGTTTCCTGGGCATCGATGGTGCAGCATTCTCGTCATTCGCAGCCCCCTCTGGCTCGTCATTCATGCTTTCGGCCGGTAAACGCACAAACAACATTTGGCCCTTTTGCCCTTCTGGTTGAGGATTCGCTTGAAGCCATCGATCAATTGCAACGTCAAAGATGAGCTGACGTGTCTTGTACCGATTCCGCCACGAATGCCATGTATGCCGCTGAGCCCAAGGGTATTCAGCCGCCTGTCACAAGATTTGTCAGATTATTCATGAGCGGTCCGATATCGTCACCCTTACCCTGTCAGTCAATTCGATATAAAGATTGTTGCCAAGTCGTCCACCGAGGGCTGCATTAGGTATCCGCCTTCCGATATATTTTACTAGGTTTTCGTCGTCTTCGGCAGTGTATTCCGTACGGCTAGATAGAGTTAGATGTCTCATAGTCTATGCCATCCAATATAACTCACGCCGATCCGGGCCTTCTCCCACCCATATTACGCCGCATCGGAGGCGAATTCTCATATTTCTTCTGAGCGAGACAATTCCGTACCCAATCCAGGTCTTCTACGAATTTGTCCGGGTTGTGCTCGTATCGGAAGGTCAGATCTTTGAACAGCACTGCCTCTTGTTTGGATTTTCGGGGAACGATGATCACACGAGCCCGTTCCTCAGTCGTTTCAGTCACACCTCCTGCCTTCTACACGAAACAGTTAGGCCGCAAAATGCATTGACAGGGGGAATTCTACCTCGATTTCAATCGCAATATCTCGAGACGCAGTGCTGTCGAGTGAAGCATGTAGGAATATTTCGACGGGCATATTATGGTGCTTGAAAAAGGGATGGATATCTTTCATGGTTGAGGGAGGAATCCGTTGGCCTGCAATTATGCACGCGCGCACGAACGTATAACACACAACGTGCCGATTGGGTTTATCAGGAACTTGCCATCTTTCGACAAGCCGAGAGCCTTTCTCAGTGTCGGGGTCTATTAAGACATAGCCCTTGATAGGAACGGTTGAAACCACAATCCCGCCGTGTTCCTGACACTCTTGCATGAGATACACCTCTGCATGTGGAGAAAGATAATTACCTCGATTTTGTGTGAAAGCCATGCAAGGAAGGTTTGGCCAGTATCTTGCTGAAGGAAGAACTTGATGGGCTCGTCGCCGTCGACAAAGATCTGGGATCCCTATATCAGTGGAAGTCATGCGGAGCTAGAACAAAGGACACACCGAGGACTTTTGTGTGACTTTAGGCCTGTCAGTTGGGTTAGGCGCCATATCTCAGGGGGACTAGAAATTAGTGGGAATAGTATATTTCATACAAACACTCTTTCGGCAACTTGCGCTGGTCACTCCTCCAACTCTATGCCCCCTACACATACTCTCCCTCCCGCTTCGTCGAGCATTCCTGTCGCCCCAGTCCGGCAGCAGGCAGCCATCTCGCCCATATCCGTCCAGGCCTCTCCCAGGTAACTTTTCTTCGCCTCAAACCCCGATCCGCACATTTAAAATCTTTCTCAACTTTTCCGATTTAACAGCTCCAACAGCGTCTTGACGGAGGATGAGGAAGACTGGGAGGACTACGTGAAAGGCGGCTATCATCCCGTGCATGTCGGTGACACCTTTAGCGAAGCCAGGTTTACCCAACTTTTCCGATCCGCAATGAACATTCACTGAGTCTTTACTCCTAGATACGTTGTTGTACGGAAACTGGGGTGGGGTCACTTCAGTACAGTTTGGTTGGCTAGGGATAACAAGTGGGTGGATCGCTTTTGCTGTGTCCTGTCATGCTGTGCTCTTCGTTCCTGCTCACGCCTGCTATAGGATGAATCGGCATGTCGCCCTTAAAGTAGTCAAATCTGCACCCCGGTATACGGATACCGCCTTAGATGAGATCAAGCTCCTCCAACGACTAATCTCCGCAGATCCTATGCATCCTGGACGACGCCATGTCGTCTCGTTCTTAGATCACTTCCGACACAAGGGTCCAAATGGTACCCACGTTTGCATGGTTTTCGAAGTCCTGGGAGAAAATCTTCTTGGCTTGATCAAGCGGCATCAATCAAAAGGGGTTCCCGCCCACATCGTCAAGCAGATCGCGAAGCAAGTCTTACTCGGCCTCGATTACATGCACCGTCAGTGCGGTGTCATCCACACAGATCTCAAGCCTGAGAATATTCTCATTTGCATTGAGGATGTTGAGGCTGTAGTACAGGCTGAGGTGCAGTCTACCCCCGCCGCGGTACCGACCAAGCTCGTTGGCGTTCCTCCGAGCAAGGGTCGGGGCGGCAACCAAACCCCGCGCAGCGAGTCTGTCTTCATCACTGGCTCCCAGCCACTGCCGAGTCCGAGCAGCAGTTTTGGGAGCAGTCCGATGTTTGACAAATGGGGGTTCGCGATGTCTCGAATCAGCGTCCAAGACGAGAGTGTGGCCTCGGCCGGAGCACCTCCTGCATCTTCCAAATCGACCGACTCCATTGAACGCACTACGGCAGCCATTGGAGGTGTCAGACTTGACTCTCACTTTGGAGAGCATGTGACACCCCCAAAACCCAGACAACCGGGACCGTCTCTCCTCTCGCAGCAGGCCCCCGCCGCCGCCACTTTGCCCTCCGATGCACCGAGCTTTCGGCCCCTTCCACTCGATAGCGCGCCTCCCATTGACTCACCACTGCCCTCAGGTTCCCCAATGTCCACTGATGTACCGCCACAAATACACCAATCTCGAACTGAGTACCAATACACACAGTCCGGGGACACGATGTCCTCGGATTCTTCCTTCGATTCGATGGAACGGATCACCGTAAAGATTGCTGATCTCGGGAATGCCTGCTGGACCGATCATCACTTCACCGATGACATCCAAACCCGACAATATCGCTGTCCAGAAGTCATCTTGGGTGCAAAGTGGGGACCGAGTGCGGATATTTGGAGTGCGGCGTGTTTGGTGGGTTTACCAACCCCCTTTTTTTGTGATTCATGCAACTTACCTCATTCTAGATATTTGAGCTTTTAACGGGCGGAGACTATTTGTTCGATCCGCAATCCGGCTCAAAGTATAGCAAAGATGATGATCACATCGCCCAGATTATGGAATTAGTGGGAGAGTTCCCTAGGAGCATCGCCTTCTCAGGGAAATACAGTAATGAATTTTTCAATCGAAAAGGTGATCTTGCACCGCTTCTTCTTGCCCTACCCCAAATGCTGACGCTGGCGAATCGACAGGTGATTTGCGACACATCCATCGCTTGCGGTTTTGGCCCGTGGACGGGGTCTTGCACGACAAGTATTTGTTACCGAAGGAGGATGCGGATATGATAGCGTCATTCTTGACCCCCATGCTCCGTCTTCATCCCGAGAAACGTGCTCGTGCCTCCGAACTGATCCATCATGTTTGGCTTGACGGGATCCAAGTCCTGGGTGAGATCGACCAGATTCGCGCGGCAGAAGAACTTGAACGGTCGCGGAACTTATCATCCAATGGTAAGGAGAGGGAAACTGTGGATGGCAGGACACATTTAAGCGGGAGATTCAATTTCATCCCGACTGCCGCTGACCAGGCAGATGCTCTGAAACCTGTCGAAGAGGTTGAAGCAGCTCCGCAACTCCCGTCCCCTCCACCTACC